TAGACGTAACCGAGCTCTTGTTCGAGATGGTAGACAGTCTGGTCGAGGGTTCGGATCTTCTCTGCTTGTGAGGATACTGTGTCCATGAGGAGTTTCACCGCTTCGTCCGTGGTCTGATGGATCGGATCGTTGGGGTTGGCGATCTCATCTGGGATCTCGGAGGCTGTCTGCATTCTATCCGGCTGGCTGTTGGGATGTTGCTGGCCTGCTGGCTGAGGATCCGGAATGGTCTGCTCCTCGTGCATCTTGTTGGTCGGCATGGTGAAGAATTGGATGATCGACTTGCTGTTCTATCAGCTGGGCAACTTCTTCTATGCTACGTCTGTCACTGCGTCAGCCACTGACGAGAAGCGCTCTGGGTGGGTGCGGGGAAGGGTAAAGACAGACTTCGTATGATTGTATGATGTACATGCTCAAAATCACACTTCGCTGCGGGACGCGGGGTTTTTTGGGAGGGAAAGGTTTGGGGACCTCAACGACTGCAATCCGTCACTGCGCATCATGGACACTTGCTGGCGGTCTTTGATGTTAATTTTGCTGTGGTACTTCGAGTCATCTATGCACAAACGTCAGCATGTCTGGGTCGTGGGCTTGGTAGAGGGCGCGAAGTTCTCGGAGTTGTTGTAGACGAACCGGCTCGGGATACGCTATCTTTGAGATCATGTGGCGTCTCGTTCGATATGCACTGGCACGATGGACTATAGGCGTGGATCCCCTTGGGGAAAGAAGCTGGTGTGTCTGTGAGGGGAGGATGAGGCGAACTTCTTTGCGGCGTAGGTCGATGTTGCATCCGAGGTAGTTGGGTTCTTCTTGTTCTTCCAACAATATGGGCGGGCCGTAGAACTCTGTTTGGAGAAATTCGCCCCAAGGGCTCGTGTAGGCCCAGCTTTGTGGTAGGATGCAAATGCGGTCGTCAACATATCTCTTGGTGAAGCGGTCGAGAATTGCGCACGATGCCAAGGCTATCCGATATGTCTCATGCCATTGGTGTTCTTCGACACAACAGACCATGTGGCATAACACCGGTGACATTGGGTGTCCCATTGGGCTACCTCTGGTCTGCTTGTATACTTGTTGCTGGGAGGTGAAATAGCTGCACTTCAAGACGTACTGAGTGATCTCCCAGATGTCGTGCATGTAGATGGTGCGTCGACCATGGTTGATCTGCTTGTACTTCCCATTGAACGTTCTGGCCGTTCTAAGCGTCTTTTTGGGGTCGTAGGTGATGGAGACGTCCTGCCATGTGTCAAAGCCGTGCTGGGAGTTGGCGAAGTACTTGTTCATGGTGATCATGAGGGCTTGGAGGATACGTTCCTGTGGGACACTGGTGAAGAAGCCCGCTAGGTCCGCGATCTGCATGTGCATGTCCGCGTTGTTGAAGTTCATGAAGGTGTGAAGTTCCTTGAAGATCTTGTAGGAGTTGTCCTGTTGCAGCGCTTGGGGAAACGAGATGTACATGATGTTGGTGATGATCTTGGCGACCGTGGAGAAGAGCTTCTTGGCGAAGTGCTGGGCGAACGAGACAATGGGCCGGGACTTGATGAAGCCCTTCTTGCGCTTGGGGAAGATGTAGGACACCGGGACTTTGTCTTTGCGGTTTGGGTTGATGCCCCAAGCGTATCTTGTCTTGATGTGTTGGGGAAGTTGGTGCCACGCGTTGTGCGCTGCTGTGGTCGGGGTGATGTTGATCTTGGTGAAGACTTCAGGGTCGCCGTACATCTTGTCCATAAGCTGTTGGAAGTGGAGGGGGCAGTACGCTAGCATCTTATGGGGATGGTGGTCCTCGCACGCGATGATGTAGTCGCTGTACTGAGTTTTGAGGCTTTTGACCATGTGGTGGTTCACGTGTTGCTCCTTCACGTTGTGGCTGAGCCGTGCCGCCGGGGCAAGGGCGAGCTGTACGGCCTCCCTGGATGGGATGGAAAGTCCATTGCGTCTGCACCATTTTCGAACATCTTCCGTCGTCTGCGAAATCCAAGTATCTGGTTCCGGGAAGGTACCCGTCTTGGATGAGTAAGTGACGATGTGGTGTAGAGGGTCTTCTGGTGATGCGTGTGCGGTCTGAAGGTCAATGACCTGATGTTCACTGAGTTCTTGTGTAGGGTTGGGACAAGTGCATCTTCTCGCAAGTTTTGGACCAAAACACATTCGCTGCCAGTTGTGGCACTGGGCCTCGATGCTGGATCCTGGTTTGGCTACCACCGTGGTCTTCGGAACATGTAGTGGACATAGTTCGTGGTAGTGGCTTGCGATGATGGCGCGTAGAACTTCTCGTAGATGGCGTTGGCATTCTTCCATAGGTGGGAGCAAACTGGTGACGAGGGGCCTTATGTTAGGGATCTCCATATGTCTCTTGTCCAGTGCCTTGACCAATGCTGCCTTGCAGAACTCCTTGTACGGGGATTCAAGGATGTTGGTCATTCGTAGTAGTGTGTATATGTTCTCGGCCGGGAAGTTGCTACTCATCAACGTTCTGGTGGTTTTCCATCGCAGAGCCGTGGTGGAGCACAGGGCGGTGAGGAGGCCCCACATGCGCGTTTTGGTGTCAACCTGTACCTTGACGGCTCGCCAAGGTCTGGTTTTCCTGCCTAGGTGTCGATGTAGTCGGGCGCGTAGTTTGGTTGCCAGCACGTTGACGTCGCAGATGGTCTTGGGTTGGAAGGTGTGGCCTGTGTCTTCCTTGAAGTGTTTGTAGATGAAGGGGGCGTTGAGGGAGGGTTGGAGGTCCGCGATGTCTGCCTGCTCAATCATGTGCAACTCTGCCACATCGTCAACGCTGCGGACTTTGATCGGAACGAACTCCCAATATGTGTTGGTGGTGTGCCAGTAGTGTATGGCTGGTTCTGCGTTGACCAGTTTTTGAGCGGCGAGCGCGTTGTGTTTTCTACGTCGGTTGTCTTCTCTGACTGTGACTTTCGTGGAGGTGCTGCCAATATAGAGGTGCTCGAACATGCGTCCGTGGTCGACTCTCCAGTACACTGCGTTCGGCTGATTGAAAAATTCGAATGTGTAGAGCTCCGGGGTGATACGGTGAAACTGCTTGAGGCGCACCAGCCTGCGTCGATCTACTTGGCGTCGAGGAAAATGGCAAAGAGCGGTGAGCCAAAACTTGCCGTAGAGCCAAGTAGAGTATCTGTGTAAGAAAGGTATGCGGTGAAATGTGTATTGGACCACGCTCTTCGCGATGTCCATGCACTTCACCATGGAGGAGTGTATGCGGTTGAGTCGTCTGGAGGGTTGCTGAGTGGTGAGTAGGGTACCTAGTCAATGTAGGTAAGAAGCGAGGCCTGCTACCACGATAGCGACTGCTGCCGTCCCTGCTGTGTTGGTGAGCTTGGGAAGTGACCAGGCCTTCACCATGTCCTGGTATGCCTGATCTTTTGGATGTGCCTCCGCATACACCGTGAGTCTCTTGGCAATTTCTTTCTGGGCCTGTAGTTTAGGCCCAGACATCTTGAGGGTGGAGATCCAGGTTGTTGCTGAAGGGGCCGCGTATCTTGATAGCGAGCTGGTGAGTTCATGTACTTGTCGGATCTTGTCCATTTTGGCCTTGTCATCTGGTTCTCGCTGCGGAGCTATGCCGCTAAGATACTGGATGAGTTCTTCGTCGTCGAATGCGTTGACGATGTCGAGGAGGACTTTGTTTTGTCTGCCGCCTGGTGATTCGAACGGGCGGCTGGACGCTGGTTCACCTGTAACCGGAGATCTCGGGCTGGGCTGGTAGGAGGGTGTGGTGATGCCTCCAATGAGGTTGGGATCCAGCTCGTCTTCCACGGTAGGCGGATGGGGGTGGAGAGGGGGAGGGGGTTGAGGTGCTTGTTCGGCCACTTCGGATGCTATCGGTTGCGATACTTGGGTGTCGTCTGCGTCGATAACCTGCACAAGGTCGTGGGTGTTGTCCTGAGCACACAGATCTCGGTGTGGATGTGGTTGTTTACCGGATGATGGTGAAGTCTTGCTGGTGCCTGTTTCGAAGAAGTTGGGCATCTGGGTTTGGGTAGGCGGGATGATGCCCTGCGGGAAGGGTGTCTTGCGGCTCTGACTTGCAAGCTGTGCGCGTAATCCTGCTATCTCCGCTTCTTTCTGTGCGAGTTGGGCACGTACTTGGGGTTGTACAGCGGGGGGATTGTTGTAGCGCATGAGGAGGTCTCCAATGTTGGCGACGAGCATCTCCATAGCTTCCTTCCGTTGGGCTTCAGAGGGCAGCATTTCAGTACCGTTTTTCCACTTCCAATAGTTGACTGCGATGGTCTCGATGCGAATGTTGCGGTTGCGGATGAAGGTGGAGAGTTTCATGTGAAACACGGCATCGGGTAGTGACTTGTGGCCTTGGAACTGAGTCCATCTTCCGTTAGCGAGTTGTCGCAACATATAATTGCGCTTGCCCTCGAAGGCCACTTGCCAAAGTTTTATGTCGAAAGGATCCATACCTGCCGTGCCATTTTTCTTGGCCGATGACGTGGCAGGTACGATTCTGGGCATCTGGACTCCTCCATACTGGTTTTTGTCGTAGAGCAGCTCGGTGGAATCCCAATGGTCTGGGAGGTCGTTGTTGGGCTGGTGAAAGATGTCCTGGAGCACTTCCTTGGCGCGTTCTTTGGGGTTAGGGCGGGCTGGGGTAGGGGCTGAAGATTGGGTAGATTGGATGGGAGAGTTCCCGTATATCGGGA